GTACTGGGCCGTACGCACTACCCTCTGTAGTGCCTTGCGGTCGGAGGCCGAGCAGTTGCCATACCAGGCAGTGATGCAACCAGTCAGGATGCTCTCGATGGTGCAGCTGTATAACATTTTGAGGATCTGAGGACCCATGCCAAATCTTTTCAGTCTCCTTAGGGGGAATAGGTTTTGTCGTGCCTTCTTCACGACTGTCTTGGTGTCCTTGGACCATGTTAGTTTGTTGGTGATGTGGACACCAAGGAACTTGAAGCTCTCAACCTGCTCCACTACAGCCCTGTTGATGAGAATGGGGTCGTGCTCGGTCCTCTTCTTTTTCCTGTAGTCCACAATCATCTCCTTTGTCTTGATCACGTTGAGGGAGAGGTTGTTGTCCTGGCACCACACGGCCAGGTCTCTGACCTCCTCCCTATAGGCTGTCTCATCGTTGTCGGTGATCAGGCCTCCCACTGTTGTGTCATCGGCAAACTTAATGATGGTGTTGGAGTCGTGCCTGGCCATACAGTCATGAGTGAACAGGGAGTACAGGAGGGGACTGAGCACACACCCCTGATGGGCCCCCGTGTTGAGGATCAGTGTGGCGGATGTGTTGTTACCTACTCTTACCACTTGGGGGCGGCCCGTCAGGAAGTCCAGGATCCAGTTGCAGAGGGAGGTGTTTAGCCCCAGGGTCCTTAGCTTAGTGATGAGCTTTGAGGGCACTATGGTGTTGAACGCTGAGCTGTAGTCAATGAATAGCATTCTCACATAGGTGTTCCTTTTGTCCAGGTGTGAATGGGCAGTGTGGAGCGCAATAGAGATTGCATCATCTGTGGATCTGTTGGGGCGATATGCAAATTGGAGTGGGTCTAGTGTTTCTGGGATAATGGTGTTGATGTGAGCCATGACCAGCCTTTTGAAGCACTTCATGGCTACAGACGTGAGTGCTACGGGTCGGTAGTCATTTAGACTGGTTACCTTAGTGTTCTTGGGCACAGGGACTATGGTGGTCTGCTTGAAACATGTTGGTATTACAGACTCAGACAGGGAGAGGTTGAAAATGTCAGTGAAGACACTTGCCAGTTGGTCAGCGCATGCTCGGAGTACACGTCAATGAAAACAGGATGCACCTGAGCTCAATTTCGAGTCTCATAGCAAAGGGTCTGAATACTTATGTAAATAAGATATTTCTGTTTTGTATTTTATTTATTTTTATTAGCAAAAATGTCTACAAACCTGTTTTCGCTTTGTCATTATGGGTATTGTGTGTAGATTGCTGAGGTATGTTTTTTATTTAATCAATTTTAGAATAAGGCTGTAACGTAACAAAAGGTGGAAAAAGTCAAGGGGTCTGAATACTTTCCGAAGGCACTGTATATCGGAGTGTTGGCGTGTGCCTGGCTATCTGTAAAGTTTTTTTATAAAGAAAGAAAATTGTGCTGTCTGGTTTGCTTCAGTATAATACTTAAGTATATTTTGATACTTAAGTATATTTTAGCAATTACATTTATGTTTGATACTTAAGTACATTTAAAACCAAATACTTAGACTTTTACTCAAGCAGTATTTTACTGGGTGACTTTCACTTTTGCTTGAGTCATATTCTATCAAGGTATCTTTACTTTTACTCAAGTATGACAATTGGGTACTTTTTCCACCACTGCATTTCTTGTGAGTTTAGAATACATCACTACTTGTTTTAAAGGCTATTAACATACATTTTGGTTTTTGGAGATCCCAGTTAGTTGTTTTCATTTAAAAACAATCTTCACTTGAAACTTTAAATCATCTTCCAACATGATAGTCCATTATATCATAAAAAAACACAGCACAGACCATGTTGCAGTTAAGATAATATAAATATTTTATTAGATTTTTCTGATATGTCTTCATGCATCATGTTCAACAATCCCAGTAGTAGTAAAAGAGGTTGTTCATCTCTCAGGGTTGGTTTGTTAATTAACCTGTAGTCCAGAGGGGGAGTTTACTGTAGAAAAGGGCAGTCACTAATCACTCCTGGAGATTCTTAACCATCCATATTCGTGAAATGGAAAAACCTGGGAATTTTGGGAAGGTATCAGCATTTTGCAACCCTAGGGCCTAGGGGACAGTATTGATGTACATGTAACTGCCAAAATAAAGGAAACCCTATAGTAAATGAGGGATACAAAGTACTTTATATTGATGCAGTAGCTTTTCTCAATAATCAAAAAAGAGCTTCTTAGCAAAGAGCAACTTCTCAAAGAGCAACTTCTCTGTTAAATCCACTTCAATCAGTGTAGATGAAGGGGAGACAGGTTTAAGAATGATTTTTAAGCCTTGAGACAATTGAGTGTGTGCCATTCAGAGGGTGAATGGCCAAAATATTTAGGTGCCTTTAAACAGGGTATGGTAGTTGGTTCCAGGCACACTGGTTTGAGTGTCAAGAACTGCAACACTGCTGGGTTTTTCAACACTCAAGTTTCCCGTGTGTATCAAAAATGTTCCACCACCCAAACGACATCCAGCCAACTGGACACAACTGTGGGAAGCATTGGAGTCAACATGGGCCAGCATCCCTGTGGAACGCTTTCAACACCTTGTAGAGTCCAGGCCCTGACGAATTGAGGCTGTTCTGAGGGTTAAAGGAGGTGCAACTCAATATTAGGAATGTGTTCCTAATGTTTTGTGCATTCAGTGTATATACAAAACATTTGACTGCACTGGGCCTTTAAGCAATTAACATCCCATCATGCTTTGGGTCATGTATAAAAATGCCAAGTTGCCCATTATTTTGGCTATAATGGCTAGAAGCAAAGATATGTGATTTTGAAAGAGGGGTCTGAAAGGTTTAAAGGGTGTGTGTGTCTCAGTCACCAGATCTCAACCCAATTCAACACTTATGGGAGGTTCTGGCGCGGCCCGAGACAGCGTCTTCCACCATCAACAAAACATCAAATTATGGAATGTATTGTGGAAGAATGGTGTCACGTCCTTCCAATAGAGTTCCAGACACTTGTAGAATCTATGCCAAAGTGTATTGCAGCCGTTCTGGAGGCTTGTGGTGGCAAAACTTCCTATTAAGACGCTTTATGTTGGGGTTTCCTTTATTCTGGCAGTTACCTGTAGGTATGTGGTAAAAGTCAAGGTTTAATGTTCAGCATCTTAACCGTAAGTCATCTAGGCCTACATCAATGGATGGGTCCATTCTAAGAGACTCCTCTTTCTATCTTACATACATTGTTCTTGAAGCCTAAAGGGGGAAATAAAATGGTCTGCATCCACAAATCATTCATGTTGCAGTATGTGTCGGACTACCTTTTCCTTCAGTATGAGAGAGTTAAGAGGCAGAGAGTTAGGGAAACGGTTAAGTAAATAGAAGAGCTAATGACATCAGCGTTCCTGAGAGACAACAGCAATAGGCAACTTCTGAAAAGACTATGTCCCAAATGGCACCCTATTCCCTATAGTGCACTACTTTTGACCAGGGCCTATCTGGCTTCATAAAAAGTAATGCACTATATAAGGAATGGGGTGCAATTTGGGACTCACTTTAGGCTAAAGAAAACAGTGGTTCATTTGACACAGCAATCAGAAATATAGACTAATAATATGTGTACAAATACATAATTAGTGACAGTTTGCTATCTCTGTACAGTACACGTCCGTGGCTATTTACATAAACATCACAAATCATGGGGACAAGCCATGTTAATTAATCTGATACTGTATATGTACACAATGGGGTTGCTCTGTTTCAGAGTTCTGTAAAGAAGTTCCAAATTCCTTTGAAATCATTCAAGTTATCTAAATATCATTAGCAAGTTTACACAGGAAACTTGAATAACAAACAAATGCATATAGACTTTTATCCCTTTTCAGCAGAACACAGTCATGCATAGAGGGACCATATACATAGTGATAATATAATGGATACATAAGAGAGCTTTAACAGGTCAGGTTTACCGTACGCGCTGCATGTATACATGAAAGTCAAATAAAATAATTATATTTAAAAAAGTTACCTTTTTGGTAATGAAGAAAGTCAATGAGTTTATTCAGATATTTAGGATGCATAATTAATGGCACTTTATTCCCTATATATGTGTATGTAGGGAATGAGGTGCCGTTTGGAATGCAGACATTTAGTTTGGCCAATGATTAGCATTGACAGCCTTATAATTGTACTATGCCAACCATTCCCCATCTCAGTTTCAAAGGCTTCAAAGGCTCTGCAGTTCCATAATCATTTATAGGACCAGTTGTCAACCCTACAGCTACCTATTGAACCTGTCTGTGGGTATCTGTCGTATAAAGCAGGGTTGTATTCATTAGTGAACACCGTAGCAAGACTTTTTGCAATGGAAAATGAAAACAAAGCATTTCTTGTTGGAACAGTTGAGGCATAGTCCCTCCCTATTTGTCAGTTTTCTTCTGTTTGGTTTCTAGTGAATATGACCCAGGCGTTCTTCTGTACAGGTGTGACACAGAGCTGAGGACTGAAGGGGAGAGCAGAACTTGGAGAATCTTATCCATCATCATATACACTAATCTCTCAGTCAGTTAGTTGGCTGATGTGTGCACATGTTTGACAGATAAACGTACAAAGAATATTACAAGATCAATTCCACAAGAGATAAGCACTAACATATAACAATAAGGAATGGATATTTTATGCCAAACGGAAAGGTACAATATCATGTAGGTTTTTTGAGTGCGAGAGATGTCATTGGACCCAGATATCAGTCCGATCCAAGAGGAGATTCACCTGCATGTCACTTCAATCTGCCATTTCGATACAGTCCATCACTCCTCTTCCTCCTTCTCACGTCCGTCTTTCTCACAACTTCCAATCATCCCTTCTTCTCTCCTTACAAACTTGCCACCCTGCCGTGTTAGGAGTGTATCATGTGAGACAGGTTAGAGAGAGAAACCTGATGTGTGTTTGTAGGTGTGTGAGTGAGTGTAATTTGATCTTCCTGTACATGTAGGATGATATCTTTTATAGGTGCATATCAGAATGTCCAGGGTTGTCAGGGTTACTTGTGGCTCCGCTGAAGGTAAAGGGTGGAATCATCAAACAAAGGATTCTTCACCTCCATTTCCCCCGTCTAAAGAGAGAGAGAGAGAGTTAGTGGCAACCTGCCATGAGATGAGGAAGAACATGTAGTTTATATAACTATGATTAGTAGTATTTAGTCCATTTATTTCCCCCCTCCCCAGATTAAAATTGTTACTTGATAATTCTGTTCTGATTTACATACCCTGTTCATTTTCTGTTGTTAATTGCTCTATTTTCTAATGTAACATTGTGCTTTGGCAATATGTATCAATACGTCATGCCAATAAAGCAAATGCGAGAGAGAGAGAGAGAGCGTGCGAGAGAGTGAGAGGTCTGTAGCCTACTGTGTGTAAAATATAAATGTACAGTATTTAACTAAAATGTATTCAAACTAGGAGGTAAATATATATTGGATATCAGTCATATCGTTGCCTCTACCATGCCTGCTACTGTCCTGCATGTCTATGCAGTACACTATATGTGCACCAGGTACATCTGTCTCTTACCGGGGCCAGTCCAGGGCACTCGTACACCGTGAAATCCCCATCCTCATTCTCCTCATCTGACGTGGCCCCAGAGTCAGGCACCTTGGGTTCATCCCTGTGTCTGGAGAAGAAGAAAAAATACAGAACAGAACACTGAGTCATGGAGGTATCCAAACATCACACCACAACCCACAATTCACCCTGATATAGACTGACAGGAGGACAGGGGAGGAGAAGGAGAGGCGAGACATGGGCTGGGTCTGGAAACGTTAATAAGCTTTCTTCCGCTGTCCTTTTCCCCTCAATTCCTGTTAAAACACATTGGAGCGCCACCAAGTAGCTTTACAAAGGAGGAAACAAGGAATTGACAGCTAGTAACATTTTCAGACAGCCAGGGACAGTGAGGGAAAAAAGTATTTGATCCCCTGCTGATTTTGTACGTTTGCCCACTGACAAAGAAATTATCAGTCTATAATTTTAATGGTAGGTTTATTTGAACAGTGAGATAGAGAATAACAACAACAAAATCCAGAAAAATACGTCAAAAATGTTATAAATTGATTTGCATTTTAATGAGGGAAATAAGTATTTGACCCCCTCTCAATCAGAAAGATTTCTGGCTCCCAGGTGTCTTTTATACAGGTAACGAGCTGAGATTAGGAGCACACTCTTAAAGGGAGTGCTCCTAATCTCAGTTTGTTACCTGTATAAAAGACACCTGTCCACAGAAGCAATCAATCAATCAGATTCCAAACTCTCCACCATGGCCAAGACCAAAGAGCTCTCCAAGGATGTCAGGGACAAGACTGTAGACCTACACAAGGCTGGAATGGGCTACAAGACCATCGCCAAGCAGCTTGGTGAGAAGGTGACATCAGTTGGTGCGATTATTCGCAAATGGAAGAAACACAAAAGAACTGTCAATCTCCCTCGACCTGGGGCTCCATGCAAGATCTCACCTCGTGGAGTTGCAATGATCATGAGAACTTTGAGGAATCACCCCAGAACTACACGGGAGGATCTTGTCAATGATCTCAAGGCTGCTGGGACCATAGTCACCAAGAAAACAATTGGTAACACACTACGCCGTGAAGGACTGAAATCCTGCAGCGCCCGCAAGGTCCACCTGCTCAAGAAAGCACATATACAGGGCCGTCTGAAGTTTGCCAATGAACATCTGAATGATTCAGAGGAGAACTGGGTGAAAGTGTTGTGGTCAGATGAGACCAAAATCAAGCTCTTTGGCATCAACTCAACTCGCCGTGTTTGGAGGAGGAGGAATGCTGCCTATGACCGCAAGAACACCATCCCCACCGTCAAACACGGAGGTGGAAACATTATGCTTTGGGGGTGTTTTTCTGCTAAGGGGACAGGACAACTTCACCGCATCAAAGGGACGATGGACAGGGCCATGTACCGTCAAATCTTGGGTGAGAACCTCCTTCCCTCAGCCAGTGCATTGAAAATGGGTCGTGGATGGGTATTCCAGCATGACAATGACCCAAAACACACGGCCAAGGCAACAAAGGAGTGGCTCAAGAAGAGGCACATTAAGGTCCTGGAGTGGCCTAGCCAGTCTCCAGACCTTAATCCCATAGAAATTCTGTGGAGGGAGCTGAAGGTTCGAGTTGCCAAACGTCAGCCTCGAAACCTTAATGACTTGGAGAAGATCTGCAAAGAGGAGTGGAACAAAATCTCTCCTGAGATGTGTGCAAACCTGGAAACGTCTGACCTCTGTGATTGCCAACAAGGGTTTTGCCACCAAGTACTGTCACGTTTTGCAGAGGGGTCAAATAATTATTTCCCTCATTAAAATGCAAATCAATTTATAACATTTTTGATATGCGTTTTTCTGGATTTTGTTGTTGTTATTCTGTCTCTCACTGTTCAAATAAACCTACCATTAAAATTATAGACTGATCATGACTTTGTCAGTGGGCAAACGTACAAAATCAGCAGGGGATCAAATACTTTTTTCCCCCACTGTATGTCTGGTTACCAGAAAGACGGACAGACTGGAGCTAGAAGGCCAGGGGCATGACTCACTTCTCAAGGGAGAGCATCTGCTGTTTCTGGTGTTGGTAGTGGTACATCTGAGCACTCTGAGCCAGCCTCTTATCCCCAGGCTTCAGGCAGGGCACAAGATTACATTAGAGGGCATGGTACTCCACCAGAAAATATCTGTGTCCCAGATGGCACCCTACTCCCTACACAGTACATTACTTTTGACCAGACTATATAGGAAACGGGTGCCATTTGGGACTGTTTCAATAGAACATTATTGTACAGAACATTTGATTGTTTCAATGTGATTAGTATGGTATTGTGTTGCCAAATCAAATCAAACTTTATTTAAAGTGCATTTAAAATCGAAACACACTTTACAGTAAAACAATACAATGATGATAAAAACAAACAAGAGGCAATAAAATAGATAAATAAAAATACAAACTTAACATGAAAGATAACATAGGACATTTTTTTCTAAAATAACATTTCTATGATTTCTATTATAACCATGACTTTGTAATGCGATTGTGTGCTGTACTCACCACATTGTTGTCATAGGAATGGGGCCTCATACCCCCATAAGCAGGGTAGTCTACCTTCTGAGCCAGACGCACACCTCTCTGCAACCTGAGATGATACAGGGACATCAGAGTTAGTTCTATGCTATACCCAGCACATTGTACATTGGACATCCAACTGTGATGAATGTGGTTCTATTTTGTAAAATGTTATTTCTTCTTTGTCAGCATTTGTTATAACATGGAATAGATTACAGACTAACTTTTTTCAGTTGATGGCACCAATTCTGACCTGACCTGTGTCCCATATTGTACCTGCATTCCATACAGAACTAGGCTAATGACTAGCCAGCTTTTAAATTACCATGCCCTTGTAGGGCTTGACATTCAGGTAAATTTGCCAGTGGCACACTGGGCCAGTGCCAACTGAAAGCTACTAGCCACAATAAAAAAATACTGCCCCGGTAAAGCAGATGATGCGCGCATCATATAAATGTCATCTTTAAATTTGCGGGCTGAGCAAGTAGCCTATAATGACCTACCCTCCATACACAAATAATGACATTTTAACTTGACAATATCATATTTGCATTGATTGTTTGGAGGGAAAAAATTTAACCTTTACGCAATCTCAAAAAGGGTATTATTGTTCGAGATTTTGAACAGTTGTAGGGCCCTATTTAAATTTTCCCTGGTTTCTCCAAGTTCTTTCAGGTTTTCACTTTTGAAATATTTTATTTTAAGTCCAGAACAATGCTTAAACTACACCAGAAGAGATAGTTGTGTTTGGCTAGCGGTGTTTTGTACTGTACAATGTAGCCATGATGTGATGGCAGAGTTCGCTAAAAGTTTTTTGGGGAAGGTCTTTTGAAATGTTCATTCAAACAGCGCATGGTGACTGAATAGCGCCTCGCAAAGTCAATTAAGACTTTGGATCAAACTTTTTGAATACCTGGTTTGCATACCCATTGTTGCATACCGATTGATGTTTGAATAAATATTGATAAAAAAACAAAAAAAACATTTGTGAACCAAAAACATAACCAGCTAAAAACATTGGTGTCGCACTGCCAAGTCAAAGGGTCGCAAATGTGAGGATTTTGGTCGCAGTTTTGAGCCCTGGATTAAAGTTTAAACCAATATAAATCTAATCTCCCTGAATTTGCTTTGTAATCATTTTACAGATATTGTCATGTAGCCAGTTAAGCCTCAGTTGTTTATTAATACTGAGTCAGTCGAGACTCTAAAACAGTTAAATTGAGTAAATCTCTACTCGTCTATACAACTGAAGTGCATACAATTTACAATCAGCACATTAAACGTACACTAAAACGAAGCAACAACGTGATTACTAGAAACATACCAAACTGTCCGTTCAGAAAACGGTTAAGTCAATGTACTGTAAAGCACCACACAACATGTAACAAACTAAAGTCAACTGGACCAAGATGCAGATGTAGGGAGAATTTTACCTGATCCAACAGACGCCAGCCAAGAGCAAGGCCACAGATCCCATGACCACAAACACACTGGTCACGACTGTAAAGAGGTAAAGAAAGGGTGTTAGGAAAATAGGATGGAAACGGCTGGTAGAGGAAAGGGAAGACATATCTATTAAAGGGTATAGATCAGAAGAGAAGAACAACAGACACTGCCTGGGTTACTTCATGGACTAGGAGAAGTAAGGGGGACAGGAAAGATAGTCCATTCACAAGTTTGTGTGCATCCCAAATTGCACCCTGGGAATATGGTGCCATTTGGGGCAATCGAAACTTCAGTTAAGAGCATAGAGCAGTTAAAGTCAATGCAGCTTTCACAAGATAATCAGGATGTGGAAAAACCTCAGATTGGGGAAGAATGGTTCCCCTGTTCAAAATGTCCATGAGAAATGTGTCGATAATACTGGAACGTTCTGGACTCATATATATATACAGAGGAAAGCATTTAGCAAAACATAAAAAGTAATAAGGAAGGTTACATGCCAATAAACACATGATTGTTGGAGGGGTAAGGGATGATCAGGGGCCCTCTACGAACTGCTGGGATGTGGGTGGTGGTGGGCGCTGTCATTGTGGGGGTGGCTGTAGTCGTGTTATTCGGGGCTGTAGTGGTGCTGTGTGTCGCAGGCTGCTCTGTGGTAGGCTGTTGGGTGAGGATCATGGATCTGTCATCCTCCTCGGCTTTGGAAAAATCCTGAGAGAGAGGAGCTAGGAGATACAAAAAGGAGAGAATTCATGGTAATTGATATCAAGGAAAACTATACTACTAATATAGCAAATTATATGGTAATTCTGGTCACATTATGCTAATACTATGCAATTAAAACATTTGTCAATCGGGCCTCCCGAGTGGTGCAGCGGTCTAAGGCATCACTACAGACCCGGGTTCGATCCCAGGCTGTGTCACAACCGGCCGTGACCTGGGGTCCCATAGGGCGGCACACAATTGGCCCAGCGTCGTCCGGGTTAGGGGAGGGTTTGGCCAGGGGGGCTTTACTTGGCTCATCGCGCTCTAGTGACTCCTTGTGGCGGGCCGGGCACCTGCAGACCATAGGGCTCTGGTCAAAAGTATGGCACTGTAAAGCCAAAGGTTTGTCCTCTCACCTGGATGTTTGACCCCTGACTCCTTCTGTTGGCTGATGATGGTGGACAGGAAGTCTATCTCCTCATCCACTTCAGGGAACGTGGTCACTTTGCCCGCTGAAAGGAGAAAGATGATATCTTGGTCATTGGGTTTCAATGATTACAACGAGAGGAGAGAGGAGAAGACAGAGGTAGATGCAGAGAGATAACAATTCCTCCTCCACCATCTAGGTGATTGCAGGTATGAGTCAGATCTACAGTCACCAATGATGACCTCCTACTCCACCATAGTGCCTATGGGGAATGTTTTCCCACAACAAATCAGTCATCAGATACTGATAACATAGGCTACACTTAATCAACTGCACAAGCGATTGATATCCATACAGAATGACAGGCTACGAAATAATACAGCCACAGAGCCATAGTCACACTACTGTAGAGATCAAGCGTCTATTCGTCCTATAATCGTATTAATAGTAGTGCTGTGGGTCTTTGCTTTATCTTGGCCAGGTCGCAGTTGTAAATGAGAACTTGTTCTCAACTGGCTTACCTGTTTAAATAATGGTGAAATAAATAAATAAGGGTGGCAGATCAGCAGGAAAACCACAATATCAAGCGTCTATTCGTCCTACAATTGTATTAATAGTAGTGCTGTGGGTCAGATCAACAGGAAAACCACAGCACTGCTGACTAAGGGAAATACAGAGTCTTTGGTACTTGACTCCAGATGCATACACTTTAATGGGAAGCTAACATGGCCGCCATATGGAATTACACAGTGTCATCATGTAAATGCATCATATTGCATCTTTACTGAACAAAAATATAAAACGCAACATGCAACAATTTCAAAGATTTTACTGAGTTACAGTTCATTTAAGGAAATCAATCAATTGAAATAAATAAATTAGGCCCTAATCTATGAATTTTCCATGACTGGGTAGGGGTGCAGCCATGGGTGGGCCTGGGAGGGCATAGGCCCACCCATTTGGCAGCCAGGCCCACACACTGGGGAGCCAGGCCCAGCCAATCAGAATGAGTTTTTCCCCACAAAAGGACTTTATTACAGACAGAAATACTACTCAGCACCCCCTCAGACGATCCCGCAGGCGAAGAAGCCGGATGTGGAGGTCCTGGGCTGGCGTGGTCTGCAGTTGTGATGCCAGTTGGAAGTACTGCCAAATTCTCTAAAACGACATTGGAGGCGGCTTATGGTAGATAAATTAACACTCAATTCTCTGGCAACAGCTCTGGTGGACATTCCTGCAGTCAGCATTTGCAGGCTCCCTCAAAACTTGAGACATCTGTGGTGTTGTGTGACAAAACTGCACATTTTAGAGTTACCTTTTATTGTCCCCAGCACAAGGTGTACCTGTGTAATCATGCTGTTTAATCAACTTCTTGATATGCCACACCTGTCAGGTGGATGGATTATCTTGGCAAAGGAGAAATGCTCACTAATAGGGATGTAAACAAACTTGTGCTCAGAATTTGAGAGAAACAAGCTTTTTGAGGAATTCCAGTTAAAAAGCACTCGTCCATGCTGCCCTCATGTGGCCAGTGTGGATAAACACATGCACCTACAACAACAAGTGGGTCGACGATCAGTGTAAGGATCCAAATCAAATCATTGCGCAAACACAAACTGCAGCCTTGTACAAGCATTAAATATCTTTGTGTTTGCAGAATCGACATGCTGCATGTTGCTTACATTGGATTGGTGTGCGATTCATCAAAGGGTTACTATATCAACAGTAATTAATGATGCTGGTTTCACAGGTGAGGTGAGAGCAGTGAGGTGATAAACTGCATAGCAGCACAGTGCTGTAAGTGTTAGAATGTGTGTGTGTGTGTGTGGGGGGGGGGGGGGGGGAATCATGCAAGGTATGTTTGCTTTAGAGTGTGTGGACGTAATGTAGCTCCGTTTTCCACGGAGACAGACAGCTTTTTGGTGCAGTGTGTGGTACTGTTGTGTGTGTATGTATGAGACTGAGTAAGCCAGTGATACGGTATGGTGCTGGCTGGGTCAAAGAGAGAGAATCTCTGTGTGGGTGGGTGTCTTTGAGAGAGTGAATGCGAGGTGCTTTCGTGCATATGTGTGTGTGTGGTGGGAGAGTGGTGCAGTGTGTGTATGTGAGAGAGAGTGTGTGTGTGCACGCATGCTTGTATTTGTGTGTAAGAGAGAGTCTGTACAGTACATATTAGTGAGAGTGGGGGAATGTGTCGCAGTGTGTGGGTGGATAGGTCAGCGTCTCTGCCATGCAGAGGTGCTCTGAGCGTGTGGGTGGAGGGCAGAAGGAGGTAGGGAGAGAACGAGAGAGAGAGAGAGAGAGAGAGAGAGAGAGAGAGAGAGAGAGAGGGAGCGAGAGAGAGAAGTAGAGAAAGAGGGAGGGAGATGAGAGCGAAATCATGAATGAAAACCATAACCAGGGCAACAGACAGAGGAGCCAAGAAAGGGAGGGGAGAGGAGAGAAGAGGGAGGGGAGGAGGGGGAGGAGAGGAGGAGGAGGGGGTCAGAGTCAGACTAAATACGTGGTTCAGAGATGAAGAACCGTAAAGGAACATAAGCCGCCTCCAACGTTGTTTTAGAGAATTTGGCAGTACGTCCAACCGGCCTCACAACCGCAGACCACGTGTGATGACGTGCAGCAGCTTGCATGGATTTGTAGTCTTGGATGATGTCTACTTTGATGCTAATTAGCATTTTTGAATCAGAGTAAAGAGTCGAATATATTGATAAAATCCACCTTGTCCGAGAGAGATTTAAATGGATATCAAAATGTCACACCAGGGTAAGGCTACACGAAACACAGCCCTTATTTGAAGTGTTTCTAAAATCTACAATGGATAAAATGAATGGTGGAAAAACAACTGGAACCATTTCAATGTTTGACTGCTAGGTTTTATGGGTATTATGACGCGTCCAATATGGGGCTCAATAGTCCCATATAGTAACCGACTAAACTCAACACGATTTACGATGGAGTTGAGCAGCAGCTGGTGTGAGCAGACTGGTGCTCCGACGTCACAAAAATATTTTTGTAACAAACTGATTTCAGCACCCAAAGAATAGCCTGCAATTACACAGAACAACGTTGTTTATTGTTTTTTTAATTAAAAAAAACAATTTTATGTGACGTCGGAGCTCCAGTCAGTCCACACTAGTCGCCGCTCAACTCCAATGCAAATCGTTGAGTTTAGAATCGGCTACATGTATAGTTGAACCATGATAAATCTGGTTTCTTTTTCTATTCACACAGTAAGACAAAAGGCCTCACTGCTTGTCTCCTGTCCTGTCATATGAAATGAGTAAATGTCATTAAGTATTGAATTGAAAACCACAGAGCCCTTTTTCAGTCTGGCTCCCTTCTAGCTGTGGTCGATGGCATATGGGTCTTAATGACGCAAGCCAGTGATGCATATATTATTGATCTATTCCATATTGATAGCAGGACACAATATATTTGAGACAGAGAAAATGTTGCACCTGAAACCAATGCAAATTAGTCATCTCCAGATGCAATTTCCAGTAATCTGGTGGCCACAGTTAAAGTGGCAATCTGGGATTTAAACAACAGTTAATAGTGCACAACATAGGGAATAGGGTGTGTTTGGGAGGCACACAGGACACAGTGGCAACAGAAATATGAGTCATACTGCAGCTCAATGTGCTAATGTAATTATTCTGTCACATTTCCTCAAAATGTTCTCTGTTTGTCGAGTGGGTGGTTGGGGCTGGGTAAAGACCAATCTCTTGTTTGAACATGTTGTCTCTGCTAATATTGCCTTGTTTTGGGGGGAAATGACCTGAAATAGGTAACTGTTTGCCCTATGTGTCTAGCAGCCATTGTCTACTGGAAATAGTCTGCTGCTTGCCCTATGTGCTTAGTGGCCATGGTCTCAAGTGTATTACATAGAATTGTTCCAGGTGTTTTGTAAGTGAGCGAGCTATACTGCAGGGCAGGGTTCCCCAACTGGCAGCCTGCGTGCAGTGGTTTAATTTGGCCCCCCAAGTTTTCTGATTAACAGAAAAATGTATATATACACTGAACAAAAATATTACTGCAACATGTAAAGTGTTGGTCCCATGTTTCATGGGCTGAAATAAACGATCCCAGAAATCTTCCATACACACAAAAAGATTCTCTCAAATTTAGTGCACAATTTTGTTTACATCCCTGTTAGTGAGCATTTCTCCTTTGCAAAGATAATACATTCACCCTACCATAAGCTGCCTCCAATTTCGTTTTAGAGAATTTGGCAGTCCCTCCAACTGGCCTCACAACCGCAGATCACGTTCAACCACGCCAGCCCAGGACCTCCACATCCGGCTTCCTCACCTGCGGATCGTCTGAGACCAGCCACCCGGACAGCTGATGAAACGGAGGAGTATTTCTGTCTGTAATAAAGCCCTTTTGTGGGTTGGCTCCCCAGTGGGTGGGCCTGTCTCCCAAGTGGGTGGGCCTGTGCCCTCCCAGGCCCACCCATGTCTGTGCCCCTGCCCAGTCATGTGAAATCCACAGATTAGGGCCTAATGGATTTATTTCATATGACTGATTTCCTTATATGAACTGTAACTCAGTAAAATTCTTGAAATTGTTGTTGCGTTGAGTGAGAAAGTGAGTGGGAGAGAGAGGATATGCCATGACCTTGGTGTGGCATAGGGATCAGCATTAAAACAAGCCAGAGCTTCAGCCACCCACAGATCAAATGAAGAGCATGCTGGGAACCTAACGTTAGAGATTCTATTTCTATGGTTATCACCTGCCGTGCTCCACACCTGCTGCACTCCTCCACACTGCATTATTATCATCACCTCCTGCTGTGGTCATGCAATGTGAGAGAGATAGAGGGAAGAAAAGAGAAAGAAGAGCTAGGGGACAGAAAGCGTGGAAGAGATAAAAAGTGGTTTGCGTGAGATGCATTCTTAGCCATTAAATTCAGCCATGTGCCTGCGGTCCATGTGTCTGAAGAGAAATAATGGCCATTAGGAAAATGGATCCCATTTAAATGCGAATTGACTGTGTGTATACCTGCAAATCCAGGGGTACGTCTCAACTGGTATCCTTATTCACTATATAGTGTACTACTTTTGAACAGAAGCCGGGCTATTTAGGAAGCAACCCAGGATGACAGATACTCAAAGTCTAAATGGGTAGCATGATCTATATCACAACCAACATCCTTGTTAACAGGGACATCCATACGAGTGACCTATCGTTTCCAGCAGGGCAATCTATTGCTCACAATATCAGTGTGCTCAGTGTGTATGGAGTGGCAAGAATATCAATGGGATGAGCTCGCTCAGAAGGAGAGGAGGAGGAGGATAGAGTGTGTGAAGTACAGCAAGAGGAAAAGAGGAAAGAGTATTGATGTACTATAAACTGTCAGAAGAAAATGAGGATAGAGTGAGTGATAGACAGGAAGAGAGGTAATGTGGAGAAGGAAGGGGAAAGAAGAGGGGTTCTTCTCTAACCCTCTGCTTAGTGATTTACAATGTTTACCATCAGCTCTTCTAGAGCCAGTCAGCGGATGCGTCCCAAATGGCACTCTTGCGTTAAAAGTAGCACGCTCTATAGGGATTAGGGTGCCATTTGGGACGCATTTTCAGTCAGTGGATCAGGGAAAACCTGCTTGGCAGACAGTCCACTCTTTAAATCTTTGTGCTGAGGGATACTCGGTTAGACTGTTGTGATGAGGCTGTGTGAATTAATTCCTTTCCTTCTTTATGTAGGGCTTTCCTGGTGCCCCCCTCCAGTGTCTGTCTGGCCTATGACTACATCTATGATATATCTTTAGGGGTTTGTATCGGTACCACTTTATGAAAGTCATCCATTCTCATTTTGAACCATTATGAATCATTTCCTATTGCTCTGGCTCTCTCTCCATTGGAACAACTGACCATTTTCCTGAGCTATCAGCTCGGTCCCCTGATGATGCACCTCCTACGCCGCTTCATTAACACTTGTTAAAGTCTGAGGCAGTGGGGGACTTGAGGGGAGACACACTGCTATTATCCATTAAAAGTGAGCAATGTTAACCTCTTCTTTACATTAAACTAGTCTCTTGTGAGATAGGACAGATAATGTGGAACAATTCTTGCTGTGCCCTCGTTTTGTATCACTGGTTATTTGGATGAATCTTGTGGGGGTACACCCAATGTTCCCTCAAAAATTGTTTGGCGCTGTGCAAATTTGAGGTCTACTAAGCGCAAACTTGAACATTGTGAAAATTCTGTGCAACTTCCGGCGCTCGTTTACTGTGAACACTGCAGCTGTACCCGCTTGAAGTTACAGTTCTAACAGTGGTCAAGTAGACTGCTGTGGCTATTTGATCATAATGTAGGCCTATCAGAGTGGCCTATCAGAGAGGAGAAAATGGAGGAAATCCATCCCATAACATTTTAACATGGAAATACCTATTCTATCATTCAGCCTACAGTGGCAGCCAATGTGTGGTGTTCAATGTAGGCATACATTCAATTAGACTATTGAAAAAAACATGCAGGGCTTGACATTAACAAGTATTATCAAGTGGCTACATGTAACTCTCACTGATCTCAAAACAAGCGCATCTACTCATGACCGCTCATGCTGTAAACACAGTCCAGTTCAAAGTGAATGGCACAGATCCATATATGGCAATGGTCTATTTGCATATAGGCCTACTGCAGCGCTGATTGGTTATGGCACACCGGTATGTGTAGAGTACAGGCCTGAGTCATACCTTTCAATTCAATAGAATCCTACTCCGATGCGTTATGCTTAGAACAAAATCTCTTGCATAGTTAGTTAGGCATACTAAGGGTGTTTTTCAATATGCATAATACCGTGCTCCACACTTTGCTACGAGTGCATTCTCCGACGACATTCTCTTGAGTACGCTCTTGTGAGAATGAGAGTGTGGAGAATGCATAAAACATTACATTTGAGAAGCACTCGCACTCCCCCTACTGTATTACCTCACGCTTCACCTCCCAATTCACTGAACCTTCTTTCAGCCAGGACAATGGCAACAAGACAAAATAAGATATACACAAAGCAAACATTTTACTTCATAATTATCAGCTAGATATTTGAATCGTAATAATCTAGCTACACAGGCAAAAATGACCTAAAACTAAATGTTATGCAAGGTAGATGTACATTTTTTGTGGGTAGCTACCAATTCTTCATGGCTACCTAGAAAGTTAGCCCTATTGACTTACTATGGACTTACCCATTCACTGACCCGTCTTCCAGCCAGGACAATGGTTATAGAGACAAAATAATATATACAGTACACCAAGCAACCATTTCACTTCATAACTCTTAGCTAGCTAGAGTTGAAGTTGGAAATTGACATACACCTTAGCCAAATACATTTAAACTCAGTTTTTCACAATTCCTGACATGTAATCCAAGTAACAATTCCCTGTCTTAGGTCAGTTAGGATCACCACTTTATTTTAAAGAATGTGAAATGTCACAATAATAGTAGATACTTATTTATTTCAGCTTTTACTTCATTTCATCACATTCCAGTGGGTCAGAAGTTTACATACACTCAATTAGTATTTGGTAGCATTGCCTTTAAATTGTTTAACTTGGGTCAAACGTTTCGGGTAGCCTTCCACAAGCTTCCCACAATAAGTTGGGTGAATTTTGGCCCATTCCTCCTGACAGAGCTGGTGTACCTGAGTCAGCTTTGTAGGCCTCCTTGCTCGCACACGCTTTTTCAGTTCTGCCCACAAATGTTCTATAGGATTGACGTCAGGGCTTTGTGATGGCCACTCCAATACCTTGACTTTGTTGTCCTTAAGCCATTTTGCCACAACTTTGGAAGTATGCTTGGGGTCATTGTCCATTTGGAAGACCCATTTGCGACCAAGCTTTGACTTCCTGACTGATGTCTTGAGATGTTGCTTCAATATATCCACATCATTTTCCTTCCTCACGATGCCATTTATTTTGTGAAGTGCACCAGTCCCTCCTGCAACAAAGCACCCCCACAGCATGATGCTGCCACCGTTGGGATGGTGTTCTTCGGCTTGCAAGCCACACCCTTTTTCCTCCAAACATAACGATGGTCATTATGGCCAAACAGTTCTATTTTTGTTTCATCAGACCAGAGGACCTTTCTCCAAAAAGTACGATCTTTGTCCCCATGTGCAGTTGCAAACCGTAGTCTGGCTTTTTTAATGGCGGTTTTGGCCACAACTTTGGAAGTATGCTTGGGGTCATTGTCCATTTTGAAGACCCATTTGCGACCAAGCTTTAACTTCCTGACTGATGTCTTGAGATGTTGCTTCAATATATCCACATAATTTTCCTTCCTCATGATGCCATCTATTTTGTGAAGTGCACCAGTCCCTCCTGCAGCAAACCACCCCCACAGCATGATGCTGCCACCCCCGTGCTTCACGTTTGTGATGGTGTTCTTCGGCTTGCAAGACCCCCCTTTTTCCTCCAAACATAACAATGGTTATTATGGCCCAACAGTTCTATTTGTGTTTCATCAGACCAGAGGACATTTCTCAAAAAAGTACGGTCTTTGTCCCCATGTGCAGTTGCAAACCGTAGTCTGTCTTTTTTATGGCGGTTTTGGAGCAGTGGCTTCTTCCTTGCTGAGCGGCCTTTCAGGTTATGTCGATATAGGACTCATTTTACTGTGGATATAGATACTTTTGTACCTGTTTCCTCCAGCATCTGCACAAGGTCCTTTGCTGTTGTTCTGGGATTGATTTGCACTTTTAGACACCAAAGTACGTTCATCTCTAGGAGACAGAACGCGTCTCCTTCCTGAGCAGTATGACGGCTGCGTGGTCCCATGGTGTTTATACTTACGTACTATTGTTTGTACAGATGAACGTGGTACCTTCAGGCGTTTGGAAATTGCTCCAAAGATGAACTAGACTTGTGGAGGTCTACAATTTTGTTTCTGAGGTCTTGGCTGATTTCTTTTGATTTTCCCATGATGTCAAGCAAAGAGGCACTGAGTTTGAAGGTAGGCCTTGAAATACATCCACAGGTACACCTCCAATTGACTCAAATGATGTCAATTAGCCTATCAGAAGCTTCTAATGCCATGACATCATTTTCTGGAATTTTCCAAGCTGTTTAAATGCACAGTCAACTTAATGTATGTAAACTTCTGATCCACTGGAATTGTGATACAGTGAATTATAAGTGAAATAATCTGTTTGTAAACAATTGTTGGAAAAATTACTTGTGTCATGCACAAAGTAGACTTGCCAAAACTATAGTTTGTTAACAAGAAATTTGTGGAGTGGTTGAAAAATGAGTTTTAATGGCTCCAACCTAAGTGTATGTAAACTTCCGACATCAACTGTATTTATTAACGTATCAAACATTTCATTCCGATGGCGGAGTGTTTTTTCTCTCGCTTCAGCTTAAATAACAGCCACCATTGATTTAAAAGAAATGTTACATCATTTTGTACGTGGTTGCATTTTTTATTTCTTTGCATAATTTCCGTTGAAGCTTGCATTGATCCATGCTTTAAAATATGTACAAACAGAGTATGCATTCGAAAAGTGCCCTCCATCCTCCATTTCGCATACTTGGACATACTCCGACCATCCCATGCTCCAATTTGCGTGCTCGGAGCATAGTAGTATGCTTTTTAAGAAACACCATAAGTCTTTCATTGTTCGTTTTGTTTCGGTATGTTGCATTGAAAATGACTAATATTGAGTTGATTCGATCACAATTCCCACAGTAAAGGGAAACGTTGATAGTGTTAACTAACGGGGAAAACTCTAGAAAGTTGAGTGAAGTTCAATCTCGTGTTTCTCTGCACAGGCAGATATTTCTTCTGCGCGGCAGTCCTGGGAGAGCAGCTTAGAGGGAACATTGGGTACACCTACACTCAGCATCTTTAGAATTTCAGAAGGAGAGGGGATATTTGGCCCAAAGGCTTGGTCAAGGCTTGCTACGAGAGGTGTTTTGTGGCTTTGGCTACTGTTTCTACACTAGCAGTGAAACAGCAATGCATTGGCATTAGTAGGGATAAGTGAACATACCAAAATGGGGGGCGTGAGTGTGTCTCCTTTTCACTATGCATCTGCCATGTGAGTTCTCTACCAGCGGGTTGAGGCAGGGGCCGCAGTGGGAGCTGCCTGGCTGGCAGAAATGACGCCCTGCTCGGGCACAGTCCAAGCTCCGCGGGCATACTGAAGAAGACCCTGTGGAGATAGACACAGAGTAACATTAGTATTCACATCCATTTGGATTTGAACTCCAGTGCACCTCAGCTAACACTGAATTGGACACACACTAGAGAACTAACCATATAAATAGAATGAACTAACATTATGCACAGAGGCATCTCATAAGACGTATAGCCTAGCTATTATCAGGGTGCCTAAGGTGACAACAGAAGAGTTAGTGAGAAAGAGAGAAAATAGAGAACGGAAAAAAATATCATAATTACTGGCGCCTGACTGTACATCATCTAATATAATACGCCTCCAGGCCAGCCCTACCACGCACTGAGCTACAGCTAATCAGAATAGATACTGCGTCCCAAATGGCACCCTATTCCCTGTGTAGTGCACTACTGTTGACCAGAGCCCTGGTCACAATAAGTGCAGTACATAGGGAATAGGGTGCCATTTGAGTCACAGCTCTAGTTTTAGCTGAGGATATACCTAGACCGACATCTACTTCACTACCCCTCATGAAAATTAGCCATTTCAATTCCTCACTGTACCAAGTCTCATCACTATGGTTGAGTCATAGAAACTAACCTCCTCTGAAGTCTCAGGGCAAAGTCTTTAGTTTGTAGGGTTTGTTATCTGAAGGTCAGAAATGATGATGCAGGTTTAGGCTACCATGGAGGAGATTGAAACCCTTCACTCTGATGTGAACAGATGAAGCCAGGAAGGAAGCCTAAACTACAGTATTTCTTGGCCGGTATTTTATGTTGTTTTGGGGCCATGGTAAAGTGGCCTCTGTCGCCAGCTGTCCGGTGTGATGGCTGTGTGCACCGCAGTGGGATGGAGGTGGACAGGCTTTCTGGGCTGGGGGACTATATGGCCCAGCAGGTGGGTGCCAGGATAAGTAGTGCACTACATAGGCCAGGGAATAGCCATTTGGGATGCAGCCTTAGTCTTTGTGTGTGTGAGAGGTCTCGGCTGGGCTCGACTTAGCAAGGCTGTTAGAGGATTCATACAACCAGCCATATGTTTGTTTGGTCTCTGCCTGCCAATGCTCTGTAAGCATTCAATAGGCTGAGGGGAAGCAAATCATTAAAAGTAAACCTATCAATATTACCCCCCCCCCCCCACACACACACACAAGAAGAACTCAGCCAACCACTGAAACTCTAGGCTGCTGTGGTTGCCATAACGACTGCCATGGCAACAGACAGCGTGACATCATCAGGTGTGAGTCACACTGTGAATGCAGAATCAGAGGATGGAGAGAAAGGGTGGGGGAGAAGGTGCGGGTCCCGGCGAGACCGGAGGTATCAAAAGAGATGAGCTAGCTAAGATTAAGACAAACGATAGTGAGAAGGGAACATTTATTTTAAGTGTAAGCTTTAAAGACAAAAGGACAAGGGACATAGTGTTTATTTTAAGTAGTAGACTATGCTCCAGTCTGCTTCTGATAAGCGTTATCAATGAGATATTCAAGAGTTCTGACCCTGAACAACAAAAACAAACCCTTGAATCTTATCTGAATGTAATATTAAAGTAGTTAAAATATATATATTCTCCCTCATTCTCATTGTCTACGTCCCAAATAGCAGCCTATTCCGTATAGGGCTCTGGTCAAAAGTAGTGCACTATGTAGGGAATAGGGTGCAATTTGGTACGCAAACTTAGTTTTCCTGATCTGACTGATTAACTCAATATACGCCCCAAATGGCTTGTTTTTGCATTTGGCAAATCAGGCTTCTCAATTGGTCCTGCCAGAGAGCAGATCTTCTGTAATCTTCACTCAGCAGCAGGATATAGTCACCCCTATCTCATTTTCCCCAGAGAGCACTCTCTCTACACTATGCTAGTCTAGACCCTGGCTATGGCCATGAAATATTAGAAGAAACAACAAGAAAGAGAAAGGAATGTTTCCTCAGCAAAAAAGAAAATAACTACTTGAGATGACCCTGTAAACCGTGTAAATAGAAATGACAAAAACATTGAAAGGAGAAAATAGGTTGAGAGTGGTATGAACTCAAACGACAAGACCCAGGTCTTCACAATGCATCCATGTCAACTAGTGATGGTCTTCCTTAGACAGCATCCAGCTGCTTGCTGCCTAAGCACCAAGCATGCACAACTCTGACTACAAGCCATTCATCGTTCTCCACACCTATCCATGGGTCAATAAATCCACAACTGACGCATATAACCAAATCCTCTCTGGGTACACTTTGGAGGTTGCCTCGTTCATCTGGCAGCACACTTTGCGTCCCAAATGGCATCATATTCCCTATATAGTGCTCTACTTTTGACCTAGTATATAGGGAATAGGGTGCCATTTGGGAAGCGTAATAGTCCATTGAGCAGCATACTGTATGCAAAACTACTCTGACAGAAGACGTAAATGCAGTAGTGCAATCTCTCCAACTGAACCAAACTCTACAGTGAGTCAAGAAGACGGTCTCCTCCATTTTGATGTGAAGGGGTTTTATGCATATGAACGGTCTGCCAGAGTCAATTACATATAAAACTACCGAAGACCTGGAATACAAGAACAATACCAATCATTTTCTGAGAACTCCAATGAATTCATAAACAGAATTCAAATGTTATTGACATGGAATGACTTTATGGGGGTTATCAAAGCAATCTGGAAACTGAACTTGACAGTATTAAAATAAAATCCCAAAGCAAAATCTTTTTCCATTTATATAGTTCTGTCAGGTAGTCCCACCTCCTCTCACTCAATATATAGTCAGTGACTATCCCATAGAGCACAACTCATGTCCTCCAAATTAACAGTCGCCTAGCAACCATAGCAAATACATTTGAATTAGACCCTGCAAGACTGTTCGCTCTTTCTCTCTGTCTCCTCAGTGCCAGCCGAGGTACTTTTGTGCGTTCTATTAGTCTATCTGCGTGTGCCAGGCCCTCAGTCTACGGTACGTGCGCTAGCTCCTCCACAACCTGACACCTATTAGGGCTGGTATATCCTCAGGGCTAGGCAGGCTGTGTGAGCTGGGAGGTCAGCTAGCTAGCTGTAAGCTGCTGTCAGAGGCCAGACATTAAGCCCTGTGTACCTGGGGCACTGAAGGGTGGCGACCGTGGCGCTAATCTGAAAACATGACAGGCAGTCTCCATCAAGAGCCTTCCATTTACAAATAGAAGACTCTGCCTCTATCAAGCTGTCTGTCTATCCGTCTGAGGGATGTCAACAGGAAGAGTCCCATTCCTGCCAAAAGGGCAGACTGATTTACATCCTCTTTTAGGCTAATTGTTTACTATTAAGACTTAGGTATGTCCCAAATGGCACCCTATTGCTCATTTAGTGCACTACTTTTGACCAGTGCCCTATGGTAGTAGTGCACTATATAGGGGTACAAGGATGCCATTTGGGACACATCCTTATACTCTTCCAGAGGGTGTTATAGAAAAGACGCAGCTCTCTATATTGAGCCCTTGGCTCACTTCTGCGCCATCTGTATAGAGCCATTTTCTGTTTACCATCAAACGTCATGTTCACGTGATGCGCGCGCATCCCAACATCAAAAAGGGCTGTAGCAGGATAGCTAATGCTGATGTCGGGACCTTGACAAACTTAACAGTGAGTGAGTGATGACCATATTAACACGCAAGACTGATGGCTATAGTTATGTTCAACAAGTATATTCATCTTCTGGCTTTATCTCTATAATGAACAAAAATATGAATGCAACAATTTCAAAGTTTTAGTGAGTTACAGTTCATATAAGGAAATCAGACAATTGAAATAAATTAATTAGGCCCTAATCTATGGATTTCACATGACTGGGCAGGGGTGCAGCCATGGGTGGGCCTGGGAGGGCATAGGCCCACCCACTTGGTAGCCAGGCCCAGCCAATTAGAAATAGTTTTCCCCCCACAAAAGGGCTTTATTACAGACAGAACTACTTTCAGCACTCAGAACTCCCCACCCCCCTCCTCAGACGATGCTGCAGGTGAAGAAGCCGGATGTGGAGGTCCTGGGCTGGCGTGGTTACACATGGTCTGCAGTTGTGAGGCCGGTTGGACGTACTGCCAAATTCTCTAAAACGACATTTAGCACTCCATTTTATGTTTATTCCATGGCCAACCATCTCTCTAGCTACCCCTTATTCCACACTATGCGTTTTATGCGCAATAGTCCCTCAACTTCAGACACTATGGAATTTTCCATCTTATCTCTATAAACCCACCCTACCTTCACCCATTTTCCCTATGCTTCTCCCTTCATGTGTTCTTCTCCTGATTTGATAACATCTAGACTCAGTAACTTTTTAAAAAGTATTGTGGTGTACTGTTTTTTTCTACCTTTTTTCCACCTGTGTAATGCTGTTCTCCTGCTTATTCTGGGGTTCAGACTGAATGCAGTGGTAAATGTGCTGCTCACAATTGACAGCAGCATCATGGACCTGTTAAATTATCAAGTCTTAAGTGTGTTTCTCATTCTGCTGGAGTTGACCTAGTATTTAATATAAAACCTACCTTACGCGTCTAGTTTTTCCATTTGTAACTCACCCACCAAAATATACTGTTTTTACGTGTTATTTGTGCTGGTCTAATTCCTAAAATGGAAAAGCAGAAGAATCTGTGCGCTCTCGGATAGTAATAATACTTCATATGGTGCTCTTCCATGTCCCAGGTTTGTGGCATTGATGAATAAATCATTTAATGTTTACTTAGATGTTTATATGTTATGTATAAAAGGCATACACTCACCGGACAGTTTATTAAGGACACCCATCTAGTACTGGGTCAGACCCCCCCTTTTCCTCCAGAACAACCTGAATTCTTCGGGGCATTCTATAATGTGTCGGAAACGTTCCAGAGGAATGTTGGCCCATAATGACATCACGCAGTTGCTGCAGATTGGAAGGTGATACCTTCATGCTGCGAACAGCCCATTCCATCTTATCCCAAATATGATCTATTGGGTTGAGGTCTGGGGACTGCGCAGGCCATTCACGTAAACTGAACTCGCTGTCATGTTCAAGGCAATGTTGTTCCACTCCTCAATTGT